CCCATTATGATAGTTAGAGATGATTAGATGATTTAGTATTAATTTTTAATGATTTAGTTTTAGCAAAAATATGATTTAAAAGTCGGTGAATGAAATTTGGCTGAACTGACAAGAAACAATTAAGACAATATTTGAGCAATACGTTCATAAAGGAATTAGCTGCACTTTGTTCTTATAAATAAATGAAAGTAAATAGAGGTAATTAGAAGTATTGTTACAATTAATAATAATAATCACAATATTTCCAAATCATAACCTTCTATTGTTTTTACTTCAGCAAAAATATATTTAAAAATTCAGAGACTAAAATCTCTTTTTATTGTCTAAAGTGTAATTCGATAAGAATTAATATGTTTTTTAGTATGTAGTAGTTGAAAGGACTGCCTAGCTGTCAATAACTTGAAAATAATGAATATTTTTAGAGGTAATGTTACAAAAAATTTAATCAATATTATCAATAAAAAATTTGTAGAGAAATTGTTTCTAACCTGTTTGGTTCTGTTTTAGATACATTTACAACAGAAAGCAGTGAAATGGTTTCAATTTGATAACACAGGTTGCCAAGAATTTTACACAAGACTTATTTTCAATGGTTAAAATTTTATAATCAAAATAAAACATTTAATTTCCATCCTGTTAAATAGAAATTTGTTAGAATTGTTATTTTTTGTTTTAGATTAATCAAATTTTCAAAATCCAAATTATATTCTGTAGTTTTGTAATTTTAAGTATATGTTATGTAAATTTTGTAAATTCTTAATTATAATATGAAATAAAATTAATATAAAAAATGGTTTCTATATTACAGGAAATTTTATTAAATTTTTTAAGTTACATCAAAGACACCTACACGTTAATTTAGTAATTTAGAAACCTAACAAAAACGAAAACCGTTACGTTTTCGCGCAATTTGGAAACATTACAAAAACGAAACCGTTATGTTTTCGCGTGACTAAACAGGCCGTTACGTTTTTGAGGCGGAAATAGATACGTCTGTGTGCCTCTTAGGTTACGTAACCGTTATGTTTTACGTATAATCTGTTACGTTCTATTAACGTTTTCATTACGTTTTGTGGTTTACTGGGTATTAATTAGTAACTCTTATTTATTATTTGAATAAATTTGGCACATAAGACATTTTTCTTGATACTGCCAACTAATTTATCACAATATATAATATCTTTGTTTTATGGTAAATTTATAAACTAATTACATTAAATATAATTAACTTACATAAGTGTTATTATATTATGCTTTTCATATTTTAAAATATGAATTGTCATATATCATTTCTCTGATTTATATATAATCTATTTAGTATCTTCAACAATAATTTATATATTATTATAATAACAATAAATGCATATAGAATACATAAATATTAAAAAAACCATTGCAAATAGAATATATAAATATTAAAAAAACATTATTTTCACAGAAAATATACTCTTAATACACAATATGCATTAATGTGCTGAAATATTTTAATTAATTTAAAACCATCGGATTGTAAAAATATTAATTATGTGTTAATACATCATTTAACCTAGAATGATTATACATGCTTGTAATATGTCTTTATAATTATACGTTGCTAAAATTCTATATACATGTTTCTAATATATACTTAAATGTGGTTCTTATTTCTAACGCCTACATGTCGGCATCACAAAATACTATTTACTGGAACAATTTCCAGTTGAAACAATTTTACTTTATATTTTAATTCCTAACGAATTCTTAAAATATATACAAAATCTTACCATAACTTCGTCAAAAATAAAGCAGTGAGTGATGTTTTCACAATAAAATAGCAATGAACAAATTATTGTGAACTAATATTTCCTTCTCAAGATTGTCCTCATCACTTTTTATCTTCACGATTAATATTCAAGTATAATTATTCTGATAATATTAACATTACAGTTGTGCTTCAAAACCACCATTTATATATCCATTTTCATGATCTTCTGAACTTTTTTCTGTTGCTGGAGGTGGAGGTTTCTTGGCCAGTAACTTTTTACGAATACTTTCACGTTCGTGACTATGCCAGAGTCCGTAGCCAAAGTAAATGAGTAAGCCTACGAATTGATTTATATATGATATATGATATATATAAATATATATATATATATATATGCAAAAAATATTTTTTTCAGGTCTATTAGCTGCGATGGCCAGTGGCGAAAACTGCAGGGATAGCTCAGAAATATTAATAATCCTATACTGATTTTCGCCAATTTCTTTACATCAATTTCTTAAGAATTGATCATATAGACCTCGATATTAATGAAGTTCGATTATTTCTCTTTATTACGATTCAATTTGTATTTCTATTAAGTTGCTGAAAAATTTACTCACCTACAACAATCCAAATCATAAACCGCACCCAAGTGGTGACAGACAAGCTCATCATTAAAAAGACATTGATCAAAATGCTGAGTGCCGGCAACCACGGTACAAATGGTACTGTAAATGAAAGTTTGGCCGAAGATGGGGGTTGTCTAGCAATGATCAACAGACACATAAGGGCGACTGCCGCTATGACCCCAACAAGGACCACAGGCAAAACCTCGCCGTCGGAAAATCCGTCCATTTTAGTTGCAATTAGGCATCCAGACAGGCACAAGATTGCTGTTTGAGAAATATTTTATTGATTAAGATAGTTGAGATAAAAATTGATTATGAATCGATGGGTATATGAGAAAATTTATTTCACAAAATGCATAATTAAATGCAGTTATAACACTTTATGTAAGCTAGTTAGAGAGCGTCCATTAATCACGTGAGCGAGATTTTAAGGATTTTTAGACTCCCCCTCCTCCTTGGTGATACATGGTGATATTCAAAATTTTTAGTTACGTAAGAAAACTGTAAATTTTTTGAATAAAGTAATTTTTTTTTGAAAATGTTTGATTTAAAAAAAATAACAGTCAAAAAATCAATACACGTGATATCTTACTGTACCCCTCCCTACCCCACGTGATGGGTCGTGATTTTTTGTCAAACCCGCCCTCCCCCTAAAAAACTCACGTGATTAATGGACGCCTCCTTATAACTTTATATTTGATTGCTAAGATATTTCAATTCGCATTTCATGCTATTTATTAATTAAGAAAAATGCATTTCTTTTACGTAATTTGTCACGATATTCAATGCTCAATAATGGTTAAAATAAAGTTTTATACCATCGTAAATTAATCAGTGACATAAATCTTTTATGCCTTTTTCTTGTTATAAATCGAAAACTTGAAAAGGTTATTAGGTGAGTTTCACAAAAATTTATAATTCGGTCTAAATTGTTTATTTAAAATATTAATTTTAAATACTTACTGTAAGAAGTTGCGGACCATGTTACAATTGCAGATGTTCTAACAGTTGGAGCTTTTGTTCTGCGCCCAACATTGAAGAATGTATGAAATACGCCTTGAGATGGTACTTCTAGCAGCTTAGATTCATCTTCGGTTCTATCAATTTCATACCTAAAATTTACAATCATTATTACTTATTATATGAATAGTTTTTGTATAAAAACAAATTACATATCTCGTTTTAAATACCTAAGTAACATAACACAAGCTGCGACCATTGAATACGCTAGTAAGGTTCCAATAGACATCATATCAACTAATTCTTCCAAATCGAAAAATAATGCCATTAGGCCTGCAAAAGCATAGTTTTATGATTTTTTTGCACAATTTTAATAATAACTATTGTTTACTATGTTTTTTTTCTAACCTGTAAGAAAACCAGCCAACAAAGTCCCGAGGAATGGTGTCTTGAACCGAGGATGCACTCTTCCCATAAATTCGAATAACAATCCGTCTGAAGCCATAGCATAAATAATACGTGGCAAAGGAAACATTGAGCCCATTAAACTGAAGATAAAAGGGTCATAGTATATTAAATATTGTGCAAATTCTTATTGGAGCTGATATGATTTTTCGACATACCTCGCACAAAGTCCAAAAATTGCTCCTATACTAACAATATATTGAGGAGTTGTCCATCCGAGCAATTCAAAAGCGTGGGTAAGTGGTGCATCGACGTCCTGGAAATAAAATAAAAGTCTTTAAAGAATAAACTTTGCATAGTTAAAAAAGCTATCTATATAAATTAAAAACTGTTTAAACCTGTCTCCTAAGCGAATCAAAAAACGAACATGTGATGAAATACATTTTACATCAAAAAAAAAAAAATTGACTGTGATAATAATATTTGAAGTAGCAATCAATGGAATCGATATTAAATTTTGAAAATAATTTTAAATTTAAATTTATAATAAAATTAAATTCTAATATTTAGTTTTAATAGTTTATTTCTAAGTGGTAAACTCGCAAGAATATATTTATCTATTTCTAGTATTGTAAATTAACAATCTTATATAGAAAGCCGAATAGTGCGATTTTCAATTATCATAAGAATTAAAGATAAATTAGATTATAAAGAACTGAGGTACGTTTTTGTTTATAATATAACCTAAACTTGATAATTGGAATAAGAAATACAATAAATTGAAGTAATTGAGGTAGTAGTAAGATTCGTTGCGCATTTTTATGAAGAAGAAATATTGATAACAACTTGAAATACCATTATCCTTAACCGATTTAGTTCATTGAAAATATTGAATTTTAATCATGTAAATTAACTCTATCCAACATTTTAGCTTCTTTTGAGAAATGTAGATTATTAAAATAATAAAGATTCTGATATAAACCATTTGAAATTCTTGTGTTTCCAAGGCTGGATAGCCTTTACCAAATTCCAATGAGTGTTTTATATTTAATATTAATTTATAATATATAATTTACCTGCTCATAATATGGAAGCAACATAGTCAGTACAGTTGATATCGAAAAATACGACAAGAATGTTATGAACAATGATCCTATTACAGCAATGGGTAAAGATTTCTTTGGATTTTTGGCCTCCTCTCCTGCAAAACATTTTTTTTTATTGCAACAATAATGCACAATTTGTATAAATATATATGGAGGTGTAGTAGTCCTCCATATTAATACCAATATTATCCAAATTGTAGTAATAATAAATTCCATAAAATATTATTTATATTTGGTTTATTTTATGTATGATTAATATCCACGACACTATGTGTTGTCATACTAATCGTTAATAAAATGTTATTGGTATTTTCGTATTTATAATTGAAAAGAAAGGTTTTAAGAATCATACATTTTAGGCAAATTCGACTAGGGAGAAACAAAAGCCATGTCCGATCTGACACTTGAATTTATTTTTGTTTTTTTTCTGTGCTGTCACTATATGGGCCAATCTGTCCAGTAGACATGTGATGCGTGTTGACAAGCCGCGATGCGTGTTGGCAACCCGCTACATATACATGTTTATATATATATATATATATATATATATATATATATATATATATATACTAGATGACCCAACAAACGTTGTCCTGTACCCATGCACACATTTTTTAATATCCTATATTAAAATTTACCGTTTACCTAAAAATATATTTATTTAAATTACTCTTCACTCCTAAATGCAAATACATCAATATGATGTTAGATGTAAAATTGCTTTAAATAAAATGATAAGTCTCAATATAACTATATTGGAAATGGAAGTATTTTAAACGGTATAACAATTCAGAAAAAAATAATATATAGTATCCGCGGTAAAAGTACAATATACTTTGGATTTTCCACCCAAAATAATTGCTTCAATAATGTTGCCTATAATTTTTATAATCTCGTACCATATTTTAACTGGATCCTAGTAATAATAATATCTAAATTACATTTTTATAATAAATAATTATATACATTTAAAACCATCTTTTTTCTATATATAATTTAAGGCATCGAAATAAAATATATAAATTTATTTCTTTTAGATATATTTAATTCTAATCTAGTAGAACTATTTCATTCAGTTAAAAAATATACCTGATAAGTTTAAAAATATAAAAATGACAATTGTATTCAAGTTCTACAAACCAAGTAAAAACTAATGCATTTATATTGAACAAAAAACAACATACATTTAAAACAGTTTACGATGTTTTTATGATTTATAAGTTATATGAACACGTGTAAATAAGTGGGATCATAAAAATTGAACTGAGTAATTGGCTGTTAATCAATTCAACATCGAAAAAACGTCAATATATATATATATACATATATATATATATATATATATATATATACAGTGGTGTTGTCGAGCCGGAACGCGCCGGAACGTCGTTCCGGCAAATCATTTTTCGGGCGGAACGCGTTCCGGCAAAAAAAAGTTATAAAAAAATCGCTACATACAGAAAATGATTTAATAAGTATATTTTATAAATTATTATTCAACTAATTTTTATTAAATGTTCTTATTATTGTAATAAACGTCGTTCCAGCAAATCATTTTCGGGCGGAACGCGTTCCGGCAAGAAAAAATATAAAAAAATCGCTACGTAGAGAAAATGATTTAATAAGTAAATTTTTTTTTAAATGTTAATATTGTAATAAACATACATATATGTGCACAAAATGAGTTTTGTAATAATTTTTGTTTCTTTCCTTTTCGAACGGAACCGGAAAAAACATGAAAACTTGTTTTAGAACCGGTTTTTAAATTTTAGCGTTCCGGCAAAAAATATTAGCACAACACCACTGGTTTTATCAAAGTCGTTTTTAATTTAGTAACAAATTGAGGTGTATGAACTGAAAAATTAATTACAATCCAGTAGTGTATTTCAAGTTTCACATATGTTACTTTAAGACCGAAAAGTGTCCGACACCCTAATATTGCGGATATAAGTTGGACTTGTTTCGGACATAGCGGGCGTTAGTCGAATAAAATAAATAATTTAAGACATTCATATAATGGAAATTGATTGTAGCGAAAAAAGCAATTCTATAAATACAAAAGCATAAGAACTCTTTTGCTTTTAATTAAATTTAAAAAAAATAATATTTTAATAATTCGATGAATTATTCGATGAACAGCTCGATATCACGTGCAATTATTTTTTCATCAACGGATACCGATAGTATCCGTAGCGTACCACGATTGTATTTAGTTTTTCGTCAAAGTAATGCCGACCGATAGTCGTACGCACTCTGGCCTTGACTTTACGAATGCTGTGCAATGAAGAAAGTCACTGCGTGTGCGTGTCGTTGACGACAGCTCGGCTACTACATGCGTAAAATTCTTTCTTGGTACCGTGTAGCTACAGGGAATAACACTTTCGTCTATCAAAAATCTCGGGGAAGCACAAGAAGATTCCCGGTGAAGTACATGAAAATTCCCTGGGAATAATTGTATAAGAAATCTCTCACTCCTATTCATTAGTGTTTAATAAGTAGTACGGTCAGCATTAAAAGTAGCGGTGAAAAGTAGTGAAAATGTCTAACTTAGGTGATTGGTATAAACAGCTCTTTGCAGAGTATAAAATAGGAAAAAACCTTGTGATGCTCAAAAACAATTTAATGAACTGTGGGCTAGTGCAAAAATAAAATATAATGCTAAAGATGACTTTGTAAAATGGGCGAGTGATTTTTTACAAGAGTGTCGCCGAAAAAAACAAGTAAAGAAGTCTTCTAATATTCTTTACTATTGTGCTAATTCTAAAAAGGTAAGTTAAGACTAATATTTATCTATTTATGGGACGTTCATGCGCGAAACCAAAATTTACTTTTCAGTTCGATCGATCATTTGTAACATTTATAACCGAAAATTAAATTTGTAAAAATATGCGGTACATATAAAACTGTAATTGCATTTTTTTAAATATATATTGAAATTTTTTTGATGCATTATTACATTTTATTTTTAAATAAATTAAAAAATTTTGTGAAATGTGTTATAAATAAATTTATTAATTAAAATGAATACTGATTTTTTTGTGAAATGTATTAATGAATCGAAAAAAATTGCAATGTATATTAAAAAAAATTACAATTACAATTTTATGTGTATATATTTTTACCGTAGCGCATAAATATTATGAAGAATATTCTTCTAATAAATAATAATACATACTATATATTTGAAGTATAAATGTTGAATTTTGCAACATTTTTAATAATTTGGAAAATATAGACAAAAATTATGTATCCGTCAAAGGTAGTCACTCTATATATTTTAAAATAATAAACTATAATTAAAATAAAAAATGTATGTTTATTATGTTAATAATTTCAAATTAAATGTTTTAAAACAATACTAACATAAAAATATTTGTTATGGTAATAATTTAAAAATAAAGTCGTTTGTTATGGTAATAATTTAAAAATAAAGTTCGTGGCAAGTCGTTTGCCACATTTCTTCTGCGTCGATCTCTTGGAATCACTCCAGCTCATGATGGATTTTCTAAATTGCCTTACGATTTATATTGTTAGTTTGCAGAAGGACCGTAAGCAACTTTTGGAAAGGACATGTCAGATATGTGGATTGTACTTTTGTACGAAGAAGAAAGTTAAGGAGCATATTAGCACATGTCACAAACAAACTATTAATCCCATCATCAGTAGTACAGAGATACGCAAGATTTGTCCTTCACGTATCCTCACTAAGCGATCTATAGGTACATCGAAAGAGGTTCTTTGTGTTGTGCATGAACATAGCAACTCCGAGTGGCTTGAAGAAACTGATGTTGATCTTCAAAAAAGTACATTGCTTACACCTGACTTGCAAGACATTTGTCCAGTTCTTAGTATTGAAGAATGTCTTACTAATCCATGGTCCGAGGATAGTGTACAATAAATATGTCATGTAATATATACATAATATATATATATATATATATATATATATATATATATGTGTGTGTGTGTGTGTGTGTGTGCTAATAAATTCGTTTTTCAAATTTTTATTGTTTATTATTATTTTTATGCCAATCCAAAATAATCTCTAACTTTTCTTTCTAGATATTTTTATCATTGTGCTTCAATTTCGAATAACATAACATTATACTTCTCTACCAATATTTAAAAATAATACTCTAAAAATAGTACGATTTTTTGTATTTACGAAAAATACACGTGATGTTAGCTAGGGGGGGGGGTAATTTCAAATATCACCAAGTATCACCAAGGGGGAGGGGGGGGTCCAAAAAACCTTAAAAATGGCTCACGTGATTAATGGACGCCCCCTAAGTTAATGACGGTATAGGTATCTCACGGTATGATAGATAATAGATATCTATATATGATATACAATAATATATAATAGTATAGTATGATAGGTAATAGGTTATCTATCATATTATTAAGATAAGTCTTATAAAGTATTGTAATAAATCTTGAGTACGTTTATATCATAATAAATACATGTAGGTACTAATGAATACAAATAATACCAGAATAAATGTAATTAATGTCATTGAAGAATATAAATTATGTACTCAATGATTCCCTCATACTTGTACAATTTAATGTATAGACTAGCTGTATATAATAGAGTTAATTATATAAAAAGTCAATATATTACATTTGTGAGTTCTTATCGAAATTTATCAAATTTTTTCAACCGGTTTATGAACCGGATTTTAAATTTTAGCGTTCCGGCAAAAAAAATATTAGCACAACACCACTGTATATATATATATATATATATATAAATCTATATATATATATATATACATATACAATCACTATTTTCAAAAGGTATAGCAAATGTGTATGTTCTGCGTCTGGTATAATGGTATCGTAGCAGAAAACAACGTCCTAGGTCAGTAATAATGCACAGACAAACCTTTCGTCCCTTAATAATTCATAGCATTTTTTTCAATTTCGTCACTATTACCAATAAGTACGTTTGTAATCAATCAAAAATGACTGATTCTGAAGATAATATAAATTAAAATGACGGCTATATATTGGTTTTGTTTAATGCTATTTTCAGATGTTGATACTTTCATTCGGCACAACTGTCGTAAAAAGTTTGATTATCTAATGGGTGATACTTGCAAATCTTTGTTTGTTAACTACAGTATGAATCAAAAATTATTTACCCGCAGTGGCAAACACAATCGAAGCCAATGAAACCATAGAAGCACTTAGAAGCACCTGCGATGATGCCTACTATGCCATAAGGAGCAAATCCACCATCTCCGTGACCTGCCGTTGGAGGCAGCGACCAATTTGATGCATCGGCTTTGACTGCACCAGCCGCCACGAAAAAGCCAACCACAGCTAAGTTGACCAGGGTGAATAAGTTATTGAAGCGCGATGATTCCTTCGCTCCAAAGGCTAGGGCAACTATAATTAAAGAAAAATTAACAAATAGTGAAAATAACTAATATTTAATATCATAAAAATATATATATACAGGTAAACCCCGCATACACGGTACTTCTACAACACGGATTCGCTCTAGCACGGTTTAAGAATTGATACCATCCCCTTATAACACGGTACTTTTAAAGCACGGGTTCGCTCTAACACGGTTTTAGAATTGAGCAAAACCCTAATAAAATAAAAAATCTATGAAAATCAAACTTCATTTAATCTAAAATTATCAAATCGCAGTACAATAGCCTAATAAATGTGATGAAACTAATACAAAAGATAACTAATTTGATACTTATTATTCGAACGCGTATGTTCTATCAAAAAAAATCTAGACTTAACAAACAATTAATCAATTAGTCTTTAACAAAGATCCTTTGAATAAAATGAGCACAGGAAGATAACTTTGCATGTGGTAAATTTATAAATATCTCTTCTCTAAAAGCAAGTAATCGCAAATATAATTATTTTGAAAAAAAATAATTCACGTATCTGGAGTACAGAAAGCTGCTCTTAAGATGATGATATCTTGCAAAAAAAGAATAGTGTTGGATAGCACTTCCCATTTAATTCTGACGAAAAAATAACATATGATTGATGTAATATTACTTCTTAAAAAAAATAATAAATATAACGATATTTATTATAAAATCATGATGAGCAGCATATTTTTTTGAATTCTTGGAACGTAATCCCACTTTTTGTACTAGTTCTTTGTCCCGTATAACACGGATTCGCATAACACGCTACATTTTTGGAACGTAACTACCGCGTTATGCGGTGGTCACCTGTATTCAATTAATATCTTGATTAACGGTGAATAAAATCAAAATTTTTATGTAATATTAGACAAAAACAAGAAAAAGAAATACTTTTACAAAATCATAAAATTATCATTTGAGGCCGTTCAAGAATTACGTGAGCACTATAGGGAGCAGGGGGGTTGTTGATTTGTTTATTTTGGGTTGACATGGAGGGCAGGGGAGTCTGGATGATGATACTTCATAGGTAGTATTTTTATTTTTTTACATTAATTGCAAAATGTTTACGAAAGCATGGGGGTAGGGGGCAAGAGCTTTGCTTACTTTTACTGACAAGGGGAATGGGGGGTAAATAATTGTAAAAAATCTGCTTACGTAATACTTAAACGATCCCTTTCACAAAAAACTCGATCAATTAAGTCACGTAGAAAATCACTTTTGAGTAATCCTAAACAATGAAAATGCTAATTATAATCTAAAACTATCTATTATAATCAGTTATGACTTCATGGCGGAAATAACAATTTTCCAAAATGCTTTAGATTTTGGAAACAGAATATGAGCATTTACAACAAGATTGGCCATTCGAAAGAATTTATGAATAATTCATTTATGCAGATATACCACTTGCTATAACAACTATTAGATTTATTACCTGCATGCGCACCAAATAATACTATAACTTACAATTGATCATAATGTACTGGCATCATGACATAATAAATTACTGATTATATGCAATTAGACTGATAGCGTGGATTTACTTTGTTTACAAGATCAATATCAAATACATTTGAAATAAATTAACGATTGATGTAAGTACGTCATCCAGTAAAATATAATAATTATCAATTTGTTATATATGAATTATTTTAAGCAGCAAATCATACATACTAGTGAATAACATAGTGACGCCAAAAGCGAAGAAATCAGGATAGGGCGACAAAAAACTGACGTCGATTGGCAGATGCTCCCTCAAATAGTTGCTGATCACTTTTCCTATTAAGGCGTCTAAATAGGTGCTTATGGCTTTGACAACACTGGCAGCACCTGAAATTTACAAAAAACGAAACATTTATCACTTATATACTTTGCTATACTTTATATACTTTGCAAAAGGTAAAATATCATTATATCTGAGCTAGGTTAGGAATATCTATTGTAAAGAGATAATTTTACCAAAGAAAATAAAAAATCTGAGTGATTTAGAAAAAATGATATTTTTGATTTATCTTATTTCTTTATAATTAATAATCAAATGGAAAAACCCAATATATTTAGTATCGCAGCTGAAGCTGAAGCGATTCTTTGTTGACTTCGGACTCGATACATTACAAAGACAACAAAAATTTGTGAAAGATTGTTAATTACTCAAAGAATTTATATGAAGTTTATGTAAACATTTTTCTTGATAAATGATGAAGTTAAGTTTTCACAGTTTATGTAAAATGACTTCTCTTTATAAATGCACAGTTCGAGGATTCTGAATATTGCAAAAATAAAGATTTCTATATTATTTACAATATAATTTCTGTTATTTTTAAAAATGTATTTATATACTAATTATGATACATTTTTAAATATCTTATTCTATGTATATTTAAATATATGTTCATTATTACAAAATAAATGCAAATTAATATTTTATTAGATATAATAAGCTATATGTATGTTATAAATGAAAAAGGAAAGTGCATATGAAGTAATATCAGAAGCAAATTAGCATCTGCGCTTATACTTAGGTATGTGAGAAATTTATAAAAATTATGCAGTTTCAAAATAACGAATATTATATATTACTCATAACTTTTAAACACCTAATTTCCAGTAGATATGATATTTTCCAGGAATGCGGTTAGTACCTTTCGGAATTATTTTATATGAAATAAAATGTTTTTTTATTTATTTATTCAGCCTTAAAAACTAGTATATTATTAGCTAGAAATTGAATAGTTATTGAAAATTGACAAACAAATACTCTTTCATACTCTTTAGAGTATAAGAAAATACTAATACTCATTAACTGTACTATAAATGCACTTTTAAGTGCAAATTAGGAACAATATTATGTTATGTAATTCAGGATTGATGTGGAAAAATCTTGATATTATAATCCATTAGAAATATTAGTCAAACAATGTTTTCTTTTGTAATATTATATCGATTCATTGTTATTATATTTTCAAAAAAATATACATAAAATATTACAAATTATAATTAAATTAAACAAGTTAGTTGCAACGTTTTCATGTAGTTAGTTACAACTCTCTCTGAAAATGGTCAGAATTGTATGACATTACTTAATTCATTTATATAAAAAAATAAAATAAAGTCTATTTTTGTGCTTTAAACATAATGTATATTGGTGTATGTTTGAAGAATTTATCCTAAGCATCTATACTTGATTTACATCACGTTTTTATTATAAATATTATTATTTTTATTATAAATATTATTATTTTTATTATAATATTTTATTTTATTATAAATATTATAATTTATTATAAATATTTATATTTATTATAAATAATATGTATATTTTTTTGAAAATATATCAATAATTTTAATAGCAATTTGTAAGTCTGAATTAATATAAAACTAAAATAATGTTATTAAAATAATATTTTTAATTTTGTCCTATTTGTTTTATTTAAAATTTTATACTAACTTTAACAAATTGTCATCTGAATCGATATAAATTAAAATATATGGACAATAGAATTTTAAAATAGTATTTGAAAAAAAAGTGACTTGCAAAGATAAGCCACTGGGAAAATCCGTATTAGTAAAAATTTCAAATTTCAAAGATACTTACATCGATAAATTATCTTATTCGCAATTTATTGTTGCTGATTCATTAAATTTACTCTAATGTGATCTAAAAATTTGCTTACTTTAGATAAATCTTAGCATTTAAGAGCGCGACAGGAATTTCCATTATTACTGGAAATAATGAAAATTATATCATTATTAAGGCAATGTTTTTTGCAGTTTGAAAGGTGAAAAATACGTTTCACTGGATTATCTCTTCTTTTAAAAAATTAGAAAAATTAATATCCAATAAGAACAAATATTAACAACAACCTTAGCGTATTATCCGATAAGAAAACTATCAAACGTCATAATGTCTGGTAATTATGTTTGCAGTGCACTTGATTTTAAAAGTAATGGTGTAGTTTCTTAACATTTTATTGACAATAAGATTATTTGGAGTTGTTTCTGTTATTTAGATGTTATCATTTATGTAGTAATAAGAATGATTCCGATATCAACGTCAATGATGTATTTTTGGTCAATACTTAACTTTATTGCAATCATAAATATTTCAGAAGGATTACTCTTGACCCATATCAGGCAAAAACAAATTCAGGTTAAACCAATTATATATTACGCATTAAAACAATACAATCTGAATTAGCAATCTATTTGTTCATAAAATAATATTAATATACCTATACCTTGCAGAAACATCTACACATAATACTTTTAATTTAAAAAATACCTCGTCCCTAAGTAGTTTTTATGTCCTATTTTAATATCAAATTATTTGTGATATGATCGTATTTCTGATTTTTATTTCAATATAAAAAAATATATAAAAAATCTCCGAATTTTATTATAAAATTAAAATTTTGATTATTTTTTCTAAAATTAAAAGATGACTTTCACCTTCATTTTGAGTAAAATTACGTCTGATAATGTCACCATTATAGATAAAATATTACAAACTAAAAAAATGCTTTTGAAATTATTTATTAAACAAGCATCATATAAATAAATTAATCATTTAAAATTTAAATAATGTTTTAAATAATAATACGAAAGCTTAAAATATATTAATAATTATCAGCAACAAATTATAATGTAAAATATTATCATACTATTATTATTTCTAATCGACTATAGCAAAAAAATATTTGTTAAATGTAATTTGTAGTCGATACATAAATTTCAATAAACGTTCAATTATCATTAGAAAATTATCTGAAAGGTTTTAGGTTTACTAAAAATCAATTTACTTTACAAAAAACAAACAAATTTTATAATATTATCGGTATTATATAGACACATTAAAATTGCCTATTTTGCTCTCGTAAACAAAATAAAAAATGCAATGAGTATACATGAGTATTAGCATCACAAACTATAATTATACAAATAGTGTCATGTACTTCCATTTATTATCATGTTATTAGCAATTTTTCATATAAAAAGTAAAATGTTATTAATTAGTTAAACAGAATATATGAAAAACTAGCCTGTGCTATTAGTCGTAGAAAGAAGTGCAAAAATAAATTCATTTTATGAAATAAAAACAATTTAAAATGTATTTTATATTAATTAAATATATTGCAGGAATTAATTGTTTAAACAAAATATTTAAAAAAAATGTGTGAATTGTTACACGAATTATTAAAAAAATGTTTAATATAATTGTATATTATAATAATTTCAATATTTTTATGTTTTTTATAATTAAAATGAAAACTATAGGAACCATATAGGAACTTTTCAAATTTGACGCACGTTACGTTAAAAAACGAATGCAAATTATTTACTTAATTTTTCCAGACATTGATGATTACTTAATCTTTTATAGTAATCAATTAAAGATAATAAATGGATGTTTCCGAAGATCGAAGCAGATATATTATCTTTATTAAATCTGCTCAATAAGTATATTAAATAACAAATATACTAAACGTCATTTACTAGTCCTTTTTTATTTTTTTAATTAAAACTATTATTTCTGTTTAATTTCATTGAAACATGATTTTAAGTATTACACTAACGCAAATGATATTTCACAGAATCAGTATAAAGTTTGCTGATAAAATCTACTACATAGTCTTAAGTACCAGAAAAATATAATTAATAATGTGCTCAAGTATTTAAATATCGATATGAAACCTAATATATTATTGTTGGGACATTTCCCATAAATGTAAAATTGGGTTTATAATGAACACTATGTTGACTTATTTGTTTCACTAAGTTTATTTACTTATTATTTGGATTTACATAACTTAACTTATTAACTTCCCGTAGGGCAAGTTATAGTAATCGCAAAAAAATCGAAAATGAAAATTTTTATATATCTTTACGTTTCAGAAGTTTCTGAACATTTTGGCATACCTTAGAAAAATGGATGTATGTTGTGTGTGTGTGTGTGTGTGTGTGTATGTATGTATGTGCGTGTGTGTAGGCTAGGGCGGGGCTAGTTGAGCATAGGGGCAAGTTGAGCAATCGAAATATCTCGAAAACTATTCACCGTCCGTTTAGGCATTATATGGCGGAAAGTTAGAGGTTTGGGAGAAATAAACATCCCGCGATTGCTAGGGCCGCTGGACAAATGAGTAAGGCTCACGGCGTCCTGTTTATTTGGAGACCAAAAGTAAAAACGTAATTCATCACGAGTTTTCGTCTTGTTTAGTCAAATTTTATTCATTTTAACCAGGTAAATTTTATTCTTTCATATAATTATAGTACTTTTTAATATGCACAGAGATTCTGGGTATAATTCTCACGTTTTTTTTATAAACTCACTTTTATTTTGAAATTCCGAGTTGGGGCTAGTTGAGCATAGTTGCTAAACTTGTTCTGTCACTAAGACAATTACCATTAACTTCCAGAAATTAATTATTATTTTTAAGATTTAAGCTATGTCTATGATAATGATATAAAGAAATAATTATTTTAAACAAAAATACTGAATATAATGGTAAATAATTTCTAAGTTAATTAATCGTTAATTATTCAAAGCAAATTGCTATAAGTT